TGGGCATAGAAAGTAATATTCCTATATTTATATCTCATCATTTCATTAATACAAGAATGAACAAGTAGAGTACTATTAAGATATTTATCAATATAAAAAGTTAAAGGCTTCGTGCGCAGCCACTAAATTAGTATAAAAACCTATAGCATAACATCTAGGAGTTTCACCTGAAGTTGTTTCAATATCAAATGTCCCAATATTAGGATCAGATATTCCACTATCATTATTATTTTTATAGAATTTTTTAGAAATAGTAGGTAGTTTAATATTTTTCTCGGATATTAAGATTTCATTATCAGCATTAAAAATAGTATTGAAATTTTTATTTTTTCTTCTTCAATTACCATTTTCCAAGCGAATATCTATTGCGTAGGAAATTAAATTTGCAAATTTATTATAAATTCTTTTATGTATTTCATTATCTTTTTTATCTACAATAATCACATAAAATTTACCATTTTTATTAGTAATAAATATTTCACTTGTGTCATAAAATTTATAGTTATCTTTATATTTTTCTGAAGCTTGCTGACGTAGTAGCCGAAAAATTATTATTAAATCTAGTCTCAAAGTCTAACAACTCAGGGTTTTCTATATTAAATCCAACCAAAGTACTATAATTTTTTTTACTTTTCAATGCCATTGGAGAAGCAGTTTTTGTAATATCAAAACCCCCTAAAATATTAAACGCACCAACTCCTAATCTATAAGATTCTTTGGATATTCTTTCTTTAGCTTGATTCTTATTAGGTATTTTATATAGTTTAGCATCTACTTCTTTCACAGGGTAAAATTCTAGTAAAATAGAATCACATGTATATTCCAATTCAGCAGGATATTCTTCAAATAAAACTTCTAATCTATCTATTATAGTTTCAAAAATTTCTTCTATATAACAATCATCAAAAGAAGAAAAAACAACAGCTAACTGCTTATCACCAATGGTATAGAATTTATCACCTTTTCGTACTTTAGTAAATAAAGCATAAATAAAGTTAAATTTAACTCTATTATCGTTAAATAAAATTCTTTTAAAATTATATAAATCTTGAGTTTGCGCCTCAACAAATATTTTATAGTCAACCCATTTATTAATTTTATGCAAAGAAGGGAGTGAAGTACTAGAAAAAAATCTAGTGTTGTAATGTCAACGAAATAAACTAGTCTCAGTAGTCGATAGGGGTACTCTAATAGAGCACAAAAATGTCTTAAGATTTCTTATTGTTTTCATAGTTTGTTTTTAGTTTAAAACATTATCTAAGAAAAAGCATAGGGTTTTGTCTTTTTTTTACGTGTAGCATATATTGTTGATTAACTTCTAAACCTGTAGGAAGTTTTCATATTATTGGTAGATTTAATTTATACATTATCTTACTTATATTATTTAAATAGAATAATAATGCTTTTATATGCGGATAATTATGAAATATTATTTCATCTATACATTTAGCTAAAAGTTTAATATCTTTAAAATTAGCAACATTATCCATATTATTATTAACTTTGTATCAATATCTGAATTTATTTTTCCCATTTTCAAAATATTCTTCTTTCATAGCTACTGTTAGAGTGTCTATTATATATTCAGCTATTGTAAAATCTTTAGCATTATAAGGCTTAGTCATAATAGCTTGTTTTATATTTGATCTTGATAAGCCTAAATTAATTAATCTTTCATATGATTTTTTTTCTTCTTCAGTTAAGGAACAAGCTCTCATTTTATTCTCAAGATGTATATTTAATTGATTAATCATATAAGTATAAAAATCGGAAGGATCTTTATTTTTTGTGCGAAGCTTTACCGTCTAAATTTAATTTATCATATAGAGCTATCTCATTAGACAATAAAGCTAGATGTTGATAACCATTACATGTACCGTCTAGCTGTATAGGTAAATACGTTTTGAATTCTAAAGTAGACTCATCATAATAAAAATTATTAAATCTTTCCATTTCTGCGGAGCGTTACAAAAAGCTAAGAATAAAAATTTATTCTCTGCTTGACTTAATAATATATTATTCTTATAATTGATTATATTATCTCAATTTTCATTAACCCATTCTAATCTTTTACTATAAGATTTCTTGTCTAATTTATTACCAAACAAGTCGCGCCATAAGCTTTAAGATAATTTATAGAAACAATATCAGATCTTTTAATATAATCAGGTCTAGCAAATAATAATAATCCCTTGGCTAATTCACAACTTTGATAGTGTAAATAAGCTGGAATGGGATATAATCGACCTCTATAGTCCATTCTGATTGGAAAGAAAATTTCAGGTACATTTTTATATGCAGTAGCTATTTTAATTACATAATCATGTAACAATTTTCTACTTAAATATTGCTGGTATAATTTCTTTTCTTTAGGATCCATGAAGCTATCATCTATATTTTTATATAAACCATCTCCTTCAATAGTTAATAAGTTATGTTCGTGATTATCATCTATTAAATATTCTAATAAATTTTTATTTATTTTAAAAGCTGTTTTCATCATATTATTTATAGAGTAATAAATAATATTATTATCCAGTACAACAGAAGATTCTTTCAAGCCTATTCTTTTTGTTATCAATTCATCCTCATATTCTACATCATTTAATAGATAACCACCTGATATATTTTTATCGTAAGGTTTAGGTTCTATAATCATAGGTAGTTTTACAGGTGCTATTATAACACTATTTTTAGGCAAAAAATTTAATACTTGTTCAGGTATTTTAAAAATGGAATGATTATCTCCATCATACATTATACTAGATAATAGAAATAATCCGCATTCTATCATAATTTGAGTTAATTTACAGCCCAAATGTAAATAAAAATCATCAGTGAATAATATACTATTATTTTCATTTTCGAGCCCGCAGGGCGGCTGCGCCCTAAAATTTGGTTTTTATATTTAGAATATGAAATATCTTTACCTTTAATTACATTAATATATTTATTAGCTAATAATTTACCTAATAAAATATTATTAGAAGTAGATCCATTATATAACTCATCATCTGAATTAATATTATAATGCGTCACTACCTTAAGAAATACAAAAAGCATTATATTTATTATATCGTCTTTTTTTACGTTATTAATAATTTGAAATGTATAATAATAATATTTCTTAGTCATGAATTTACTATTCAAATAAGATTCTACATCTTTATTATTTAAAGTTTTTCTAAATTTAGTTATATATATATTAAGTATTTCAGCCTTCTCAAAACAATATGTTTTAATATTATTGTTTAAATAATTAATCTTAACGCCTAAAAAATCAGTATTTTGTAAAATATGTATACCTTGATTATATAAAAATTTTTCTGGCGGAGCCCTCAATTTGTGTTTTTTCATTTATTGGACTACTATCTAATATTTTAGCAATGTTAGTAAATATATAAGCAGTGTCTTCATTATTTAATGTATTAAATGATCTAGGCATACCATAATATGGAGTTCGTACCAATTTATTTTTTAGGGAGCCTATTCTTTTTGTTATCAAATTCCTATATGTAAAATTAGAGGAGCTAGTGAGTAAGAATTAGTTCGCGTTTATAATTTAAGTTTAAATTAGTTAACTAAAGGTTTTTACTCTTACATGAATTCGAACCAAATATTTTATCTAAGTCTTTACATAGACTATTGACAGGCTCACCGACTGGCATATCTGCCAGCATAGCAGTAGGTATAGACTATTAAAATCATAGCCATAAACACTCTCAACTATAGGTTTAAATATTTCATTCGCCAAAAGTAAGATGATATAATAGCAGCCTCTAGTTTACCATTAGTTTGTGGCAATCTTGCTGTTTTATGGCAGGCTTCGCAGCACAAAAAAAAATTCGATCTTAATATAGCTATAGATAATGAAGCTATAGTTGGCCTGTTAGCAATGTTTATTCTATAATTAGTAAATATAGTTTCTTCCATTTTAGCGCGCAGTTATAATTTGATGAAGGCTAATTATATCTTTAGTTTTACATTTTATTTAAAATATATTGGTTAGCCTAGCCTAATTCAGCTTTCTCTTATTTTAGAAATCTTTTATTTATAAAAGCGTTCGCACAATTTTATCAATTAATCTTTACCCACCGACAGGAACCCCTATATTTAGTAGTAGTGGTTTTTTAGCGACCCTTTCTTATTTTTATAAAATAATAAATAAATATCTTAGTTCTCTGTACGTATTAGTCTGCGTGGGTGGGGCTGCTACGCGAGCCAATTTTTTTATATTAGTGCTCCGACTACTATCTTTTTTTTTTAAGGCGCAAGCTCCATAAATTTTTAATTTTTTAAATAGGATATTTAAAAAATGCTAGGGTCTCAAGCGAGCGCCAGCTCCATAAAATGCGAAGCCGAGTTTGCGCTCGCTTGCGCATTTTTCCTTTTTAAAAAAAGGAAAAATCAAAAAAGAACAGGAAAGCTACTACGAACAGAAAAAATATATAAAATAACGAAGTCAGCATAGCGTGCATGTTGGAATTGGTAGACAAACTTAGCTTAGGACTAGGTGGTTAATAGCCGTGCGAGTTCGAGTCTTGCTGCCCGTAGAGATTAGCCTTCGCCTTTTTTTCATAAAAGAGCATTGGGGCTCCTATCCCGACAAGTATAAAAAATATGCCGTTGTCTAATAGGTAAGACGTAAATTTTTGGTGTTTAGAAATAGGCGTTCGAATCGCCTCGGCATAATAGGTTGTTGTTGTTGTTGTTGTTGTGTTGTTAAGCCCATCTAGTTTTACTGTGTAATCATTATGATGGGCGCAAATAAGGTGGTTATAGTTCAATAGGTAGAGCAACTGTATGTGGCATAGTAAGTTCTTGGTTCGATTCCAAGTATCCACCCCTGATCGTTACTTAACTTAACTTAACTTAACTTTACTTTACTTAGTTAAGGTTAACTAGTTAAAGTTACTCTATTATTTTTAGAGCCCTTCGGCGCGCCTGGCTTGCGCATTTTTTGGAGCTGGTGCCTAAAAATACAAAAAATACAAAAAAAAGCTTGGGTAGTTTAATGGTTAAAACTCAAATCTCATATGTTTGTAATGTAAGTTCGATTCTTGCCCTAGGCTAGCTATACTTTGCAATTTATTTAGTAGTTGGGTTTGGCAATATAATTCAAGAATTATTATGATAATTTCATATTTTTTGTATAGCGCTAGCTACAACTACTTTTAGAATGACGACTAACTTCGCATAACGCTACAAATTAACAGGGTGCTGATTACTAGCACAAATAGATAGCCTAGCTTGATACCCTAGCATTTTTTTATGCTGCTACTACGTCAGCCTGCTTTACAAATAGGCTTCGTGCGCTTGATACCCAAGCATTTTTATGCTGCGCAGCCTGCTTTACAAATTTAAAAAATACAAAATTAATAAAAAAAAAGAAAAAGCTAGCAAGCTCAAAAGATAATAAAGCTATCAACAGACCCTCTACTAATTATAGGTAAAGCTAATAATTTACTTTAATTTAAGCCATGATAATAATATCTATTATTGCACTTCTACTTTCCAATGCCGTCAATTTAAGGCGAGATATCTCTATTCTATATAATAGAATAGCTATGATAATATTAACATATTGTATATTGAATGATTTTGCTTCTTTAAGTGTAGTTACTAAGGGGATTGCTCTACACGGAGGCTTATTGTTAGTTACAAATATTTCACAAATCTTCCACATTTTCTTATTTTTAGTTAGCATATTAATATTAACATTGACTAGCTTCTATCCAAGAAAAGCTTGAGTACCGGAATTTTCAACTATTCAAGACTTAATTTTCAATAAATTTGTATATTATAATACTAAATTAATAAATAAAATGGGAGAGCATCTAAAATTGATCGAATACCCTTTAATTTTATTATTTATAATAACAGGAGCAGTTTTCTTAATGTCAACAAATGACTTAGTTTCCGTCTTCTTAGCCGTGGAAATGCAAAGCTACGGCTTATACATTTTAAGTGCTGTATACAGGAATTCAGAATTATCTACTACAGCCGGTCTTGTATACTTTTTATTAGGGGCTTTGAGTTCTTGTTTTATTTTATTAGGAATAAGTTTAATTTATGCTAACTCTGGTAGTACTAGCTTTGATGGTTTATACATTATAACTAGCATTACTGAGGTAAGTTCAACAGATCTTTGATACAAATCTAATTACATAAATTTATCTTTAGTAATATTTACTATAGGTTTCTTATTTAAAATAAGTGCAGCACCGTTCCACTTCTGATCGCCCGAAGTATACGACGCTTTACCAACGCTAGTTACTACTTTTGTAGCTTTAATTGCTAAAATATCTATCTTTATTTTATTATTGCAATTAGTTTACTACACAAACAATAGTTTCAACCAGTTATTACCCGAAGAAATGAGCTGAACATTTATATTATTAATGAGTTCATTGTTCTCTTTAATTGTAGGAACTGTGGTAGGTTTAACTCAATTCAGAATCAAAAGACTATTAGCCTACAGTAGTATTTCTCACGTAGGGTTTATATTACTAGCTTTAGGTATAACTAGTGTAGAATCGACACAAGCATTTTTATTTTATTTAACACAATATGTTATTAGCAACTTAAACGTCTTTATTATACTAGTTGCTATTGGGGTTTCATTATTAAGCTACACTAGCGATAATAAAGAAGACGAAGAATTATTAGATAAAACTAATTCTCCAGTACAACTGGTTAGCCAATTAAAAGGTTATTTCTATATTAACCCTGTATTAGCTTTAAGTTTAGCTGTAACAATCTTCTCTTTTGTTGGTGTTCCACCCCTTGTTGGATTTTTTGCTAAACAAATGGTGCTAAGTTCTGCTCTGGACAAAGGATTAATATTCTTATCCTTAGTCGCAATACTAACTAGTGTAGTTGGAGGTATTTATTATTTAGGAATTATTAAAGAAATATTCTTTTCTAAACCTGATTATAAAGTAAATACTTTACTAGAAAATTTAATTTGAAAAGGAAATATCTTAGATAGTAATAGTAATGTAGTTAAAAATGTAAATTTCAAATACAACAACATTGCTATTTCTAGCCCTATAGCTTTTGTAATAGCTATTTTAACATTAATAATTTTATCGTTTATCTTTTTTAATCGTGAATGACTTAGCATGGGTAGCTACAGCAGCTAGCTCATTCGCTGTAATTAGTAGCCCTCGTAGAAAAAAGGAAAATATACTAATTAATATAAAATTTTCCGATTACTGTGCCCACTTTAACTTTGTGCGTACGAAGTCTGCCTATTTTTTTTTTATTAAGACTAAAGGGAGGGCTTCGCCTGCGCAAGCTCCAAAACAAAGCCGCCCGACGTAGTAGGGCTACTAATTTAAATACAATTAATTGCCCCTTTAATTATACAGTGTACAGTGTAGCTAAAGTTAAAATCGTACTTCGATTCTAGATACTTCCTTGTAAGCTAATTACAACTAAGAGAGCCATCAGCTGAGCTTGATTAGCTAAGCTATGACTGCCACTAACGATCGATCGATCTTGCAAGATCCTATAGATTCGATTCTAACCATCTTAATACTCACAAAGCAGCCCGAAGTCCTAATCTAATGTCTCAGTTTCCAGCTGATGGAATAGTAGTATAGACAATACCTCCTAACAATAGACGACAAGACACGGATTAATAAAAATCAGATCCAAAATTATTATAAGAATCGTATTGTCTAATCAAACATTAGCAAGGTTACTCTACTCCCTGCCTAGTTTACTAATTCTAAATTTTTCTATTTAACCAGTCTTTTTTATAAAATTGAATAAGAAATTAGGTTAGGTTTTCTAGGTATTAGTAGGTTAGGTTTTATAGGTATTAGTTGGGAGGGGTATTCTTTTTAGCCTAAGAATTGAGGTAACTACTATACAACAACGCCTACACTACTGTATAATTTCTGTAAATTGGATTAATTGCAAGAAACCTTATTATATAAATAAACAACTTGCAGCGTAGTTTAATAAAAGCAAAGCATACTTGGCTGAAATTTAATATTACCATCCCATCGTTCGCTGAAATTTATTAAAATCGTTCAACGACTACTTAACTTTATAAGTATTAACGTCCTTTATTACTTTAAGTAATAATTACATAGTCTGAACAATCTAGTAATAGGTTGAAGAATTATTATTAACTAATATTATTAATAATTAACTAACAAATTTGACCATCTTGGTACACACATTATTTAATTTTTAAATGAGTAGCGTTACTTTTTTATTTATACTTGTTTGCGTAATAGCGATCTTATTTTTAATACTTAATTTCGTTTTAGCTCCGCATAATCCTTATCAGGAAAAATATTCTTCATTTGAATGTGGTTTCCACAGCTTTTTAGGTCAGAATAGAGCACAATTTGGAGTTAAGTTCTTCATTTTTTGTTTGCTGTATTTACTCTTCGATCTAGAATTACTAGTGGTGTATCCGTTTGCCATGAGTGGTAGCGACAATGGAGTCTATGGTCTAATTATCGTTTTATTATTTATTGGAATCATCACAGCAGGTTTCGTTTTCGAATTAGGTAAGGGAGCGTTAAAAATAGACAGTCGACAATCTTATAGCTATTATAAAGGCACTAAAAAATTTGTTAATACTTTTATAGAAAACAAATAACATTTAATAATAACTATTATTCTATAATTTGTGTGTACGAAGTAGTGCTAATAAGTAGTCGGCTCTAATTCTTATTATTTAATTTTCGGTTACGTAGTCAGCCACCGTAGCACACACTAGACACGCTCTCCTGTTGTGTTGAACTATTAATTATTCTAGTTCCACATTCTTTATACTACCTCCATTTATTCCTGCTGCTGACTACGTAGCACCCCTATAACTTAAAACTGCTGCCTTCGTTGCGGGTTTTTTTAGCTGCGCACTCAAAAAAGAAAAATGGCGCAAGCTCTAACTTTATAATATAATAAGAAAGGAGTAAAAATAAGAGGGGTGCTTCGCTCGAGAATTTGTTGTGTGCTAGGGCTACTCAGAACGGCGATCGATAGTTCCTTAGCTAAATTATTAAGGATCAGTCTTTGCGCGTATTACTATCAGCATAGATTTTTTCTATTTTATTATATATAAAATAAAATATAGAAAATAAAATATTAAGTAATAGCTTAGCTTAAGCTATTCTTTTTATTCTTTAATTTTTCCTTTATTAAAGGAAAAATGCGCTGGCGCTAGGCGCGCCGAAGGGCTCCATTTTGTGAAATTTCTATTTTCTAGGCTTTTTTTTTTTATAAAAAAAAAAGGAAACAAAAAGTACAACAATTACGATATTTTTTTTTATTTTAATTATAGACAATAAATTTTATGCTACAATCATCTAAAATATTAGGAGCAGGATTAGCTACTATTGGAGTTGCAGGTGCAGGGATTGGTATTGGCGTAGTATTTGGTTGTTTAATCTTAGGTGTTGCAAGAAACCCTTCATTAAAAAACCAATTATTCACTTATTCAATCTTAGGCTTTGCCTTCTCAGAAGCTACAGCGTTAGCTTAATGCCAATTGCGTATTGCGAATAGCGCTGTATAAAGTGGGTGAATTGCAAAAAGTTGATTAGATTATCTAATTTATAAATCAAAATTTGCAGCGAAGTTTAATATTATACAATTAAAATTATATTAAAATCGTCCAACGACTAGCTGATGAGTTAGTATAAGCAATATTTCAGCCTTTAGTACCCACATAGCTAGCACAAAAGCTATATGACATAGTCTAACTAAGAAAGTGATTTCTTAATATATACGTACAGCGATTTTGTATAGAATCTATTTACAAGCTCCGCCCTTACTACGTAGGACAAAATTATATCTAATTATTTATGTAGTAATAAATTATTACATTGAAGTATTTTTACATAGTTGGTTATACTAATTAAATATTACATACTAGATTGCTACTATTACATAATAAAATCTTACTATTATCCTATTAAGCTTTTATAAGTTGTACTACTAATATTGACAACGAACGATCGCGATTATTATCCACGACTGTTGGTACTTATAAACTAAGTATTCTTTACTTTATATTATCTTAATGAAATTAAATAAATATTTTATG